TCAGGGAAAGCAGTTTTTTGAAAAAATTAATTTTATTGGTACGTGTTAGATATACAAAATAACATTTATCATAGGGAATTTGTAGCTGTACATGATATATGTTGATTTCCCCCCCATTCATCTCCCTCCCTTCAACCCCTCTTCCTCTCTTTACAAAAGAGGTAAGTAGCTCTTAATGACAAAAATGCCTTGTAACCCTTGGCATTTGTGTAGATCTGAGAACACTTATCACTCAGTACTAAGTTTTGTTTCCTCAGTCTTCCCTGTCACCACCTGCCTTGGTCCATTTTGTGCTTCTGTAACAGAGTACCTGAGACTGGACATTTATAAAAGACAAAGATCTACTCTTTATAGTTCTGGAAACTGGGAAGTCCAAGATTGAGGGCTGGCATCTGGTGAGGGTCTTTGTGTTGCGTCACCTTATGGCAGAAGGGCAAAGATGAGACGAGGGAGAGAGAGAGGACACAGGAGAGGGAAGGGAGAGAAAAAGAAAAAGAAAGTACAGCTGGCGCCACACTTGTCTTTTTCCATAAGCAGCCCACTCTCTCAACATAGACTACTTGTGAGGGCAGGACTCTCATGTCCTGTTCCCCTCTCATTAGTCTCATGGTTCAGCATTGTTGCCTTAGGGTTTAAGTTTTGAACACTTGCCTTTGGGGGGAACATTCACACCATATTACATCTTTCTCTCCCCTCTGAGCAAGTTCTCAATTTACTGGGCATCTTCTATGTATCAGACCGTGTGGATGTGAGGTTAATGAACCATCTGTGACTGCCGTAATGGAGCTAATGTTCATATGGAGAATACAGACTAGAAACAAATTTAAGTGTTAAATAGGTAGCAATAAATGCTAAGAATGAAATTAAGGCAGGAAAGGGAGATTGAGAGGCATAAGGAGCAGCTTTGGATTATTAGATTAAGTGGTCAGGGAAGCCTGGCTGATAAAGTGAACATTAAACAGAGAATTAAATGGAGTGAAGAACACAAGTCATAAATACCTAGAGGAAAAAAATTCCAAGGAGAAAGAATAGCAGGTGCAAGGCTTTGAGATGGGGTTGTGCTTGACCAGTGTCTGGAATAGCTAGAAGGCTAAGGTGAATGGAAAGAATGAAAAATCAGATAGGAGATAGCCAGAGTTTCCCTCAGAACTTGTAAGAATTGAGCCGGGGACTTAGCTCAGTGGTTCGGTGGCCTGCCTTGCAAGCGCAAGGACCCGAGTTCAATCCCCGGTACAAAAAAAAAAAAAAAAAAAAAA